CATAACTATATTAATATTTGGAGAACCAAATTATGTTCGATTATTATGGAATAATAACTTCAACGCTATGTCTGAAGTTTTTGCTAGAAAAGGAATTCCTAATAATCATCTTCGAACCAATGCTGTTCTTCATCAAATAAGTAATCTTTTAGAACAACATCACAAATCCTTAAAAGAATACGATCTTCCTCCACTTATTTCACCCAATAATAACTGGAATGAATTACCTAAATTAATACTAAATGAATTAAATATCCCTATAAATACTGATGATTTAAAAAAAATTGAATTATTAAATGAAGACCAGAAAACAATATTTAATACCGTTATAGATCGAATTGAAAAGAATCAACCAGCAGCAATCTTTGTCGACGGCCCTGCAGGTAAATAAAAATTAACAAATAACATTGCATAATTAAATATATAACAATACCCTTAAGAAATAAATATATTGGTTATTATTAAAATAGTCTAAAATAAAATAAATTTATTATGCATCTAATTTTCATAAAATCAAACTTACCTATAGGTTCAGAAAAAACTTTCTTATATCTTTGCCTACTCGCCAAGATCCGTTCAACTTCTTCAATAGTACTCGCAACAGCTTCGTCTGGTATCGCTGCATTACTTATGCCCGGAGGACGAACTGCACACTCAAAATTCAAAATACCTCTAGACATCAATTCAAATTCAACCTGCTTTATTAGTAAACAAAGTAATTTAGCCAAATTACTTAAACTTACTAAATTAATCATCTGGGATGAAGTCCCTATGATGAATCGTCATTCTATAGAAGCTCTGGATCGAACGCTGAAAGACTTAATGGAATGTAACTTACCATTTGGCGGAAAGGTCATTGTATTTGGTGGAGACTTCTGCCAGATATTACCTGTAATACCAAGAGGAAGCCGTGCACAGATAGTAAATGCTACATTAAAATTTTTACCTTTATAGTCTACAATAGAAACCTTTCGTCTTAGTCAAAATATGCGAATCGAAGACAATCCTGAAGCTAACAATTTTAAAAACTTCCTACTAAGAATCGGTAATGGAACTGAACCAACAATAAATGATGATATGATTCGACTTCCAGACCATATGACAATTGAATGGTTCAATGACAACTCTTTACAAACTCTTATTAAAGAAATATATCCATTTATACCTTCCCATCTTTCAAATACTTCTTACTTCACCAACAGAGCCATACTAACCACGAAAAATGAATATGTCGATTATATTAACAACGTGATACTAGATCAATTACCGGGTAATAGTATAACATATCGAAGCTTTGACTCCGTTCCCGATGATAAAAATAACGTTTATCAACAAGAATTCCTCAACTCTATATCTATAGCCGACATTCCACCTCATACATTAAATCTCAAAATTAATGCACCAGTAATATGTCTTCGTAATTTAAATCCACTTAATGGTTTATGCAATGGCACTAGGTTAATATGTCGAGCATTTAATCATAATGTCATTGACGCGGAAATAACAACTGGAAATTATCAAGGAAAGCGAATATTCCTTCCTCGAATTCCCTTTATATCATCAAAAGACATTAAACTTCCGTTTACATTGAAAAGAAAACAATTTCCAATTAAACTTGCTTTTGCCTTGACGATTAATAAATCCCAAGGTCAAACAATTCCCCATATAGGACTCTACTTATCAGAACACGTATTTACACATGGACAACTTTACGTTGCCCTTTCACGAGCTCAATCTTATCAAAATATCAAAATATTAGTAAAAAACGGTAACATTCCCGGCAAACAAGGTATCTACACAAGAAATGTAGTATACAAGGAAATCTTAAATGATTAAATTTTATTTATCACTATAAAAATCACTTCAATCAATACAATATTTCAATTATAACTAATATATGAGTATTTTAATAAAGATTTTATAAGCATTTAATATAAACTATAAAATATAAACAAAATATAAAATAAAATAGGTAAAACAAATATAAATATCCAAAAAAAATAATCAATAGAACTACTCATTTTTTTCAACATCTACAGTTGAGTTACGCGATCTTAAACTATTACGTAAAGATTAATTTACGCTTTGTTTACCCTTTCTACGCGAAACTCTCTTCTTAACTGGCCTATCGATCTCTTCTTCCTGATCAGAATCAACTAAATTATTACTTTCCAAATTACAAGATTCACAACCCATTTGTTCAACATCGACTAAATCTTCAACAGAATTATCCAAACTATCATTTCGCGTACGTTTCAATGGATGAGAACAGCTCGGTTCAGATTTATACACAAAATCACCTGAACTAATTGAAGATATAGCTTCACGTTCTAATTTATCTTTAGAATTTTCAGAGATGTTTTGATGAGTAGCCAGGAGTTTTGACCGAATATTATTCTGAGATGTTGAAAAACTTTGAGAACTAATTAATATCTTTAGCATACACATAAAATTCATTGTCAATAATTTCCATCTGCCCAACTACGAAAACTAATGATTCTTGAGGACGAATAGTATCCTTAACATGTGCAAAACGTGAATTATCACATGAAAAAACAACATTTACAATAAAATTACACTCCTCACCAACATAGTCAGTTACTAAAACCCTAACAATAATATCATTCTTAACTTCACTTGGCATTTCTTGCGGAATCCCAACCAAAGAAATCTTTAAAGGACATTTATTAAACTCAGCAGCTTTAAGAATAGTTACTTGAGTAGACGATGAAACTGTCATCTAAAATTAAAGTTAAACATTGTACCAAAAAAAAATCAATCAAACATACAATCAATACCTTCGCTCTCTTATTTCCATTATAGTACCCAGGCACAATCTTGCCTCCAACAGAAAAGAAATTATCTTTCTTAAAAATAGCTTGAGTTTCAAAATCTCTATCATTCGAATTAACCGGCACAAATAAAACCAATTCGATATCATAATCTTCGCGTTCAATAGGGTACGCACCAATAGCCCATACAACCAATAAATCAGAATTCTCCTTCACATTTTGCTTCACGTACTTAATTCTTACGATTGTATCAGCGTAACACGGCATAAGAACAACCTCTTTTTTTTACACAAAAATTAAATAAATAAAACATTCCAAAATCACTCATAATAAATATAAAAACGTGAGAAACACCAAAACAAACATTACAAATCAAAAATACTATGAACCATATTAAGAAATATCACATTATAATGAAACAAATACTATTTTCATACCATATAACGATCAAATTACATAAATCCAAAAAACAGAAAACCTGTATTTTAACAAACAAAATTAACTCCGAACAGGAATATTATTAATATATACAAACCAAACGGCATATCGATATACATA